ATGAATTGTTTTGAATTAAATATTATTTGTATTTCTTGCAAAATAAATAGCATTAATCCAACCAGCTTCCTTTCAACTTTCACCTGCCAAATATTTGTTGAAATGTGTCACAAAGACAAAACAAAAATGAATAAAGAAATTAGGGTAAAAAACTACTCAAAAAATTATGACCAAAATTTCAGAAACACATTTTAACTAAACTAAGGTCTTATTACCCCTGTGAATTCTTTTTTTTTTTTGTAATTTTATACATCTTTTGGTTTACATGGCACACTCCGTGACTCCACTCGATCAGTTGAGGCGCATGAAAGATATTTGAATGCCACGTAAGCAAAAAAGGTGTTCAAAATTACAAAAAAAATGGATTCAGAATAATAACAGGACTTTAGTTTAATTAAAGTATATATCTAAAATTTGATTATAGTCCAGGATACTTGTGTCATTCCAAATCAAAAGGTACATTTATAACTACTATGGATTCCCATTCCCTACATGGTTCCATTTGATAGGTTTACTCACTGATCTATGCAATATGTCTTTATCTCTTGCAATTTTTCTAACTTATTGAAAGTTGGAAAATGAAATAATTGGCCACTTGACTTATCACATGGGTCTTTGGTTGTGATGTCTGGCAGTTCTGCCCCCCTTTCATTTATTAATCAATTAAATTGTCACATCACCTACAAACTTCTTGTGACCTGTTCCATTTTTTCATAATTAATTAATTGTAACTACCTTGTTCTCAAGATTGTGTATGGATGATGAACAAGTGTATTAGGTTACAAAAGAAAAATAAAAACAATATTTCAGAAAAGTAATTCCTCCGTCTCAATTTATGTGACACTTTTTGGATTACGAGATTCAAACAACTCTATCTTTGATCATAAATTTTGTATACATTTTTTAAATATTTTGAATTGTCAATTATTATGACTTATAGTGCTTTTTACGTAGTTTATAAATATATAAATTTCATTTCAAATTTTTTGAAGATTCCATGCGTAAATTGTCGGTCAAACTTAAATTATTTGACTCTCGAAAAACGAAATGTGTCGCATAAATTGGGACAGAGGGAGTATATGCTGATCTTATATCTATTTGATATACACTTGGAGAAACATTTCATATTTTTATATAAGACATAAAAAGATATTTAAATTTAATCTCAGCTGATAAATAACTATTTTAATTTTGAAGGCGTATATTTAGATACTTTAATTTGGTCTTAACTAACCATTAAATACTCTAATTTGTTTTTACTATATTTCATGAACTTTCATGAACAACCAAAGTTGACGTACATAAATTTTAAAATTGTCTTGATGATTATTTTGTAAGTTAAAATGTTCAATTGACACAAAGAAGACGAGTTGAGGTGTCATAATGTGCGTATTAAAAATTGGAATATTTACTTCAGCTAAAATCAAATTTGATGGTACATTTATATATTTCCCTTTTTGTTGTTGTTGCTAATAAAGATAATATAAATGCAATAAAACTATTAACTATTTCTTTTGATCATATTTGCACATTTTTGGACTAGTCTAACCAATTCAGATTTATGTCGACTAGGGCTCTTAAAATTTGAATACAAAACCTTTAGTTGATGGTTAAGAAATTTCATTCATTCCACCACACGAAAATTTTTATTATGAATAAGGCATACTTACACTGATTGTATGAGGAATTACTTTATTGTTATTATATTTGAACTCGTGAGACCTACACTTTGTTTTTCTTCTTTGCCTCCTATTTCTCTTTCTCTTTTTTCTCATTTTCTGTTTTCTTTTTCTTAAATTAATTTTGAAACCAATTTAATACTCTCTCATTTTGTACATATGAAAATAATTTTTTTACTTATTTGTTTTAACTGAATTTAAAAAATATATATATTTATCATTAAATAAAAAAGGCATGAGCATACAAAAGTTCAAGTTAATTATTTAAATGGTCACTTATGTCATAAAAATTGACCACTAAAATTATTTCTATTTTTTTCTCTCATTTTTCATTTATAATACTTTAAAAAATTTCACCTTTATATTTCGTTTCATTTTTAATTCTACTTTTAGAATTTATCTAAAAATTATTTTTACTTTATTTGAAAATTGATGTTTGATCATGAAAATTTGAAATACAACTTTTCAATTGGAAGGTATATTTCAAATTTGAAAAACATGTTAGTATAATCCGTTTTTAAACTCATTTTTCACTTTTGATATTATATTTAAGTACATTCAAATATGAATATTATTTCAAATATTTTTTTATTAAAATAAAACATAATTTTATTTTCAACTCTTGCTCCATGTATTTCAAATACAGTAAAAAAAAAAAAATTAAATTCTATGGCCAAATGCCAAATATTCTTTAATGTTTAGTTTAATAACAAGTGTTTCACTATTCTTTTATAACTTTTATATATAAATGTAATTGTATTTTATTAGAGATTCATTTTACTAAATTAGTCTTATTAATTACATTTTAAAAAATTATGTTAATTATTAATATCTTATGTAGTTATGATAAGAATATTTTTTAAAAAAAATATTTTTTGTTAAAACAAACAAAACAAAAAAATCATCTATATACTGAAAAAAATTGGGGGAGTAACTGGATATAGAATTAAGAAAAACATAAAATTAGAAAAAAGAAGGGAAAGATTAGAGAAGAGCATGAAATAGAAATTAAAGGCAAAGAAAAAAAACAAAAAATGGGTCCATGGATTAGAATATATCTATAATAAAATAATTCCTCTCATACAACTAGTACTAGTACCTCATACATACTAAAAATTTCCGTATATGCTTTAATAATATGCAACAAAAAAATCCCAAACTTAAGAAACAAATAGCTAGACACTTCCACATGAATAAAGCATAAAAGTCAATAAGATGCTTTCATACTACTCCTCCGTTTCACAAAGAGTGACCTGATTTGACTTAGACACAAAATTTTAGAAAATAAAGAAGACTTTTGAATTTTGTGGTCCTAAATTAAAGTTATGTCAAATGTACTAAATTGCCCTTCAATCTCGTGGCTTTAAACATGTCACGTGAAAAACTGAAATTAAAATATTACCGAAAAAAGAAAGAGGTCATTCTTTTTTAAACAGACTAAAAAGAAAAAGAAGTTATTTTTTTTTAAACGGAGGGAGTATTAGCTTTCAACAAGTTGCACACAAATAAGATTCACATCAATAAAGCAGGAAAAAAAACATAGCTCAACAATTTATTAATATAAAGTATTGCATCTGTGATTTCAAACACATTATTATATATCCATTGCATTGTTAAAGCAACAAACTTTATCACATAGTGCTCCTATAAACATAATTAAAGGACAAGCACTAATGCCTCCTTAATCAAAAATTACATAAAGGTATAGGAGAAAACATGAATTTCACATAACAAGGAATCTCTTTTTATTTTCTTATCCTAATACATAGGAGATACCTTATCATCATAACAACTTTGTTATGTTTCAATTTATGTGTTTCTCTAACTTCACACCAGATCTCACTTTGTGATATTTCACGAGATATGTTATTGTTGTTGTGTTTCTCTAACTTCACACCAGATCTCACTTGTGAAATTTCACGAGATACGTTATTGTTGTTGTGTTTCTCTAACTTCACACCAAATCTCACTTGTAATATTTCACGGGATATGTTATTGTTGTTGTGTTTAATCAAATTAGGACACTTGGAGAGAAGCAAATAAAAGAATATGTACCACACCTAATAGATTGGCAATATTTATGAACTAAAAAGCATATGCTATAAGATACAAAATACACCTTATCTTTGTAGATTGCATTACCACCACCCACACATCAACAAAAAACTACAAGATCCACCATTCCTTTCTTGATAGGTGCTTAAAGGATCAGTACAATCAACTGTACTTTACCTCAAGTCTTTTGCTTTTTTTTCCCCCATTTTCTTGATGAATCCAACTTAGAGAAAAGCAATATTATGCCTCTTTGAAAAGTCAAAAAGACACTCCTTTCTTAATATTCCAAACCCAAGAAACACATTGCAGAATCTATGGAGTATGGACACTTCCTCATCAATGATTAAAACCCAATATCAACAATTCAAGATTCATATTAGTAAAACAACAACATACTTAAACCCCGTTTGATTTTTAACTTATTTTAAGTTATTTTTAATTTTGTCAAACACTTTCAAAAACTAAAAACGACTTGTAAATTTGACCAACTTTTAAGTTCATCCAAACAGGCTCTTAGTATAATCCCTCCCATTAGTATAACCAAGGTAAGGTAGGATGTATGCAAACTTTACTCTTGGTGGGTAATACGCAAACTTTACCTCTTGGTAAAGCGGCAACAACAACATCATACTCAGTATAATCACTCCCACAAGTGGTGACTAAGGTAGATAGATGTACGTAGACTTTACCTCTACCTTTGTAGAAGTAAAGAAACTGTTTCCGATAATTCATATCAATAAACCAGAAATACATAATCAAGATATGCTGAAAATACAATTCCACAACAAACTATCAACAAAAGATGGTGCTTCAAGACACAAATATTATAGAAGATATCTCAAAGATTACAAAAAAAGAAGCAAACTTTATTACATAATACATAGTGCTCCTCTAAAACAAAACTTGAAGGATAAACACTTATCCTTCCTTCTCTTCCACAACCTTTCATATACCAAAAAAACACATAAAAGTGGGAAAATCATCTATTTCTACATAGCCAGAAAACTTGTTTTTTTAGGAGATTCATTATCCTCTTCAGATTCTTCTCCACAACACAGTAACAACATCTCAAAGGAGAAAAAAAAGTTAAAAGAGGGAACCCCTTGTTGTAGAACTGATATCATACCAAGAAAGAGCTTATCTTTCTCCTCATTTTCTTCCTTTTTCACATGGAGCTGGTGACATTGGTGTATATACAGCAAAAACTTATCAGTAGTATTTATAGAGTTGTTAGGGAAAAACCAGTTATCATCATCTTCTTCTTCTTCAGTTTAGATCAGCCATTGATCTTGTTTCTCCTCCATTAATCACCCATGGGTGTCCTGTATATAACAAAGAACATCAAAATCAGCAACTCACAAAACAGAGATACTTTACAGAAGAAAAAAAAAACAGGGGAAAGTGAAATTAAATGAAAATCAGAGAAATTTAACTTACTCAGTACTTGTTCAGCTGAAAATCGTCTGGAAACATCCTTACATATCATCTTCCTCAACAAATCTTTCGCTTCAGACGAAACTGACCTGAAATTCCTCGTCGGAAACCTCAAATTCCCTCTGAGAACAGCTTGAAAAGTCTCGGTCGGCGTTTCACCATAAAAAGGAGGAACCCCAGAAAGCATAATATACAAAATAACACCGGCACTCCACACATCAACCTTCTCATTATACTCTTTCCCCATTAAAACCTCCGGCGCAACATAATACGGCGTACCCACAACCCCACTCATCATCCTCCCTTCACAACCAGCAAACCACTCCGCAGATCCAAAATCAGCAAGCTTCAATCTATTCTCAGAATCAAACAACACATTATCCGGCTTAATATCACGATGAGCTACACCCATATGATGACAATAGCTAATCGCAGAAACCAACTGAGTCAGAATGGCCGCGGCTGCCGATTCTGACAACGACCCAGATGAAACCCTTTCGTATAAATCACTATTCGGGCAGAAATCGGTTACCATGTGAAGGAAATCGTCATCTTCATAAACCTTGTAAAGATGGAGAATGTTGGGGTTACCGGAAAGGAGTTGAAGAATTTTGGGTTCTTTATCGAGACACTCACGGTCGGTGGAATCAATGAGGAGGTTTTTGTCGATAGATTTACAGGCGAAAGATTCTCCGGTAGCCGGAGAAAAGCAGCGGTAGACGGTACCGAATCTACCACGGCCGATTTCTTCGCAAATTTGAAATTCGTTTTTCAAGGTTTGGAACATTTTTTTTAAGGCTTTGTTTGGTTTTTTGGGGGTTTTGTTAAGGGAAAAGGTGTATTTATATAAAATTAAGGGAAGGGTATTTATGGAAATAAAATAAAAGCGAATATTCGCATAAGTGGAGGTGCGTTTTATTTGGAGGAGAGATGTAATATTTAGAAGCTTCTCGTTTAAGGATCCGCTTGACTATGTGAAATAAAATATGCGAGTATTTAGTCGGTCAATTAAAAATAATTATATTTATATATTAATGGTAGAGCCGTAGAGGAATATTGAAATAAAATATTTTATTCAAAAACTTAAAAAGATTGAATCTCACTACAAGTTCTCTTATTTCTCTCCAAATTAAAGTAGGTTAGAAAACATATTTTTATATAAACTAAGATAAACAAATCATAGCTAGACATAAATAAATAACAAATCCTAAACAATTTAGAGTTATATTTCAAAAACGTGATATATTTGGAACATACACAAAATATAGTAAATATAGATTTAGTAGGAATTGTAAATCGATTGGAACACAATTTGATTCGACTTTTTTTTTTTGGTATCTTTTGAACCACTACTAGTTAGCAAATACATAATTCAACATCAATGGTAGTAATATGGTATGAGATTACTTCACGTTTAGTTAGATATCTCGAATTTGAATTTAATGGTGTAATGGTTCAAGAATCCTGATTTTCTTCACATTTAGTTAGATATCTCGAGTTTGAATTATAATGGAAAAATCTTGTTGAAAGTGTTACCTTTTTAAAATGGATTCTGTTATGTGCGAATTCAAATTTAATCGAAGTAAGAACTCAAAAAAAAAAAAAAAACTTGACTACGTAAGCAATTGTGTCACTCTTCATTTGATGCATATTCCATACAATATTGTGAACGGCGTGAATTAAGGTGGACTCTTTTTTTTAAATTTATTTATGAAATTGCAAATAATTTTTTTTAGAAAAATAACACTACTAGAAAATTTTGACTTGTATAATTAATATAATTAAACTAGGTTGTTTCCCTTAAACATGGGATTTGTTGCTATTGGCGTTTCTTGATAAATTTAATCTTAAACCATGTTTATACAAGTTTTAAAGCTACTTTAATCCTTACATGTAAGATTATTCCTTTTTTGTTATTATTACTCTTTTCGTTCCTTTTTACTTGTCATGTTACATTTTTCGAGAGTCAATTTGACTAATTTATAAAGTTAAATTAGATTACATTTATTTGATATTTTAATATAAAATTTTACATATTCAAAAATTCTACAAAAAGTATTATAAATCGCAATTTTTTTAGGAAAAATTACAGAAATCCCACCTTTTAGTTTACTTATTACCATTATCCCCTATAAGTTTTACAAATCTCCAAAATCCCTCATTTTCGCGCATCAAATTAGTGTATCAACACTTATATTATTGTATCTCGCGCATCAGATTAATGTATCAGCGCTTATATTATTGTATCTCGCGCATGTATCAGTACTTATATAGCTCTGATACATTAATCTGATTGTATCATCGTTTATATTATTGTATCTCGCGCATCAGATTAATGTATCAGCGCTTATATTATTGTATCTCGCGCATGTATCAGTACTTATATAGCTCTGATACATTAATCTGATGCGCGAGATACAATAATATAAGTG